CGCTGCCTGTGCCCGCTCATGCCTCCCTTGTCAGCGTGGCTCGGTTTCCAAGTCAGAACACTGGGTTCTGTCTGCCGGGGCGGCCCCCGAACCGGGAGCCGCCGTGTCCTTCCAGTACGGCCCACCACGCATCTCGGCCTTTAACAGCAGTTGGGGAGGGCGTTTGCACTGTCTCCTTCCACTCTGAAATGTAGTCCCTGCCGGAGGAGGAGAGGGATAAAGGGAAGGGGAGATGCTTTTCTCCCTCGTGGGGGGTGGGGCGATACCTATTTCAAGCTGCCCTGTTTGATGCATTCCACAGTTTTATTTGGGTTCCTTCCCCTCAAGCCCAGCCCCCGGCAGCATAAGGCGCTTTCCCTGTTCAGCTCACCAAAAGAAAAGAGAGAGCTCGAGCGGTGACTCGTTCACCACGTACAAGCACCGTCCCTAGCAGGAAAACTCTGGCTCCTGAGACTCCTTAACCTCGCCGAGAATGGCACAAGGCCAACCAAAGGCTGGAAATTCAAGCCAGACAAATTGCAGTAAAAAGGCTGAGAATTTTGCGAATGCGGGTGATTAACCCCGGGAACGCGTGACCAGCCTCTCCAGCTCTTGAGGTCTCCGTAGCCGGGGTGGAGGCCCGTTCTCCTGCAGGCCAGCATGGCCTCCTTGTCTCCGTGTCTTTCTGTGGTTTCCGTCCTAGCCCTAGACAGGACGCTGTCTGGGGCCAGGGCTGCCTGCCTGTTCTGTTCGGCCAGTGCCAGCACGGCGGGACTCTGGCGCGTGAGGAGGAGGAGGGCTCCTCGGCGTGACGATCCTACAGACAGGGACACTGGTAGCCTGACCAGAGACCAGGCTCGGTTCAGTGGTAACCAGGTGACATTCTCTGGCCTGCGGTCCAGGGGGTCTGTTTTATGAAACTTTCTTCCTAAAATGTGGCGCGGTGAGTGGTTCCCAATGAAAACCCTTCGGACTGCCAAGTGGTGTCAGCCGGCCCGGGCCGGGATGCAGCTGAAAGGCCACCGTGGGTGAGAGCACCACTCCAAATCTCATGTTTTTCTTCATCCCCCTCATCGCACCTCCCTTCCCCAGCCTCTTCTATCGTTCCTTCCTGCCCCACAGGGGGCCTTGTGGTCTTCCCGGCTGTCCCTTCCACCCTGTCAGGTGATGGGCGTGAGGGCCACGTGTGTGATTCGGTGAGCGGGTCCCAGCTGGGCACTGTGACATCATCAAACCAGCTCACCGAATCGACCTCGTTGGCTTGGTCTGTGTCGTTGTCTATGTCTCCCTCTAGTGGCTGGACCCAGCAAAGACCCGCTCCTTGCTGTCCTAACCCGGAGCTGAACTGCCCCTCCCGTAGGCAGCCAGGGGTCACGGGGCAGGTTTTCGGGGAGCTAGCCCCCAGCTCCACTTTCACCGGCACACAGGGCAGCACGCGGCTCAGCTCGCATCACACACCCGTCAAGGTGCCCTTCGTGCCGGTGAAAATCTCCCCCAAGGATTTACTGCTTGCGGCTTTGCCTGGGGGCTTGTAGGATCTCTGAGAGTCCCTGCAGGAAGTGGGTTGGCCAGGAGACCAGACTCCTGAGGTTCTTCCCCGCTGGCTCAGCTGACCGCTCCCTCTTCAATTGCAGCAACGAATTCAGCAAGCTGGTCGCGGAAGAATATCTCCGCTTCTTCGACTTCACTGGGCTGAGCCTGGACAAAGCGCTCAGGTGAGCCGCTCGGTTTCCGCTCGCGACGCGCTGAACGCGAGAAATCCGGTGCGTCCCGTTTGCCGGGGGCTCGTGGCCGTGTAGCACAGCCCTGCTTCTGCCAGGAAGGTCTGACACCGGGGGTGTGTGTATAATGGCAGCTGGAGGCTGGCGGATGTGTGGCTCTAACGCAGGGCAGGGCGGGATGCGGCCCGGGGCCGAATCCAGCCCGCCTAACACTTTGATCCAGCCCCCGATCTGCCTCTGGTCCCTTTCTATTTCCATCCCGCTGCCGGAATTTCCAGACAGCGGCTCAGTTAGCAGGAGCCGAGTTAAATGGCTCCCGGTCGCGGCGCTACCCGGCAGGCACCGGAGCCCTTGACATAGCCCCAGAAACCCTGTGCGGCTGCCAGGCCACGCGGTATGGCGGGGCTGAGAGCCGCGAAAGCCTCCGGCCCCACACAACTCTGGGGGAAGCTAGTCCCGGCCCCGCCCCTTCCGGGGGGTGGAGCCTGCCCATGAGCAGGTACCGACTCGCACTAAGTGCCCTCCCCACCGCGCTCACAGGGATCCAGGCCGTGGTCAGAGTTCTACCTCGATGAGACGATGGGCTGAATACCCTTCCCCTGGGGCCGGGGTTCTAGCTGGGACCCCCTCTTGAAGTAACACCTGGCTCACCACGAGACAAAGCCAGCCGGGCCCATTCTCCTGGGCGAGGGGCAGGGCTGGATTCTGGGAGCAGAGCTGGCCCGGATCCCGGCATGCCAGGGGGCTGGTCTCTGGGGTCACACGGGAGCACACAGGCCACGGAGCAGCTCCCCTCTTGCGCCGTAGACTTGGGGAGAGGCTGATGCCCCTTCGCTCCCCACTTCTAGAGCACTAAGCTGGACCGTCCCTTTCTCTTTGCAGAACCTTCCTGAGGGCGTTCCCTCTGATGGGAGAGACCCAGGAGCGGGAGCGGGTGCTGATCCACTTCTCCCGGAGATACTGCCAGTGCAACCCGGAAGAGAGCACTTCCGAAGGTACCTCCCGTCGGCCACCTCCCCTCCCCAGCTGGCGGCCCGGAGCCACCTGCTGGGAATGTGCCCAGTGCGGCGGGTGCTGACTCAGAGGGTGGGAGGGACTCCTTCCTGAAGGACGAAGCCGGGTCGCACTTCGGAGAAGGGGACATTTATCAATAGCCCGTAGCTCGTAATGGATGAGACAGGCAGGAGCAATCTGTAGTGCTGGGGGGTTCCACACCAGCAGTGCAAGGTGTGGGAGATGGGTCCAAGCCATGCCCCTGTGGCCCTCTCTGCTCATTAAAACTGCTACTAAATATTTATGAGCCCTTATAAACAAGTTAAAAATGGCACTTTCCTATAAATCAGAGGATCCCAGAACACTAGAACAAGAAGGGACCTCGAGAGTCATCGAGTCCAGTCCCTGCCCTCACGGCAGCACCACGCACCGTCTAGACCGTCCCGGACAGGTGTCTGTCCGACCTGCTCTTCTCCATCTCCAGGGATGGAGATTCCACAACCCCCCTAGGCAACTTATTCCAGTGTTTGACTGAAATAAAGTGCAACCCAACAGGCTTTTCTCACTAAAGGTCACTAAAATCTCCAGATACATTATCCTATGATACCGTCCCAGAAGGGGGTGGCATGAACACATGGGGGAGAGGAGGCGGCGGATGGGGCTGCAGCTGGAAATAGGTGTACCCACAGGAATCTCTACGTTCGGATGCTCATCCGCTCTATGGAAAACGTTGGAGAACCCCCATCTAGACGACTGGCGGTGGTGATTTCCTTGCCATCGTACAACGGCACGTGCAAGGTTCTAGTCAGTATCTTTGTGATCCCATTGTCTAGAGAAACAGCTGAGCTTTTCATCTGAGCAGCTTCCTCCAGCTAGGACCCTGCCATCCGCTTTACCTCTGTGGATGTGGATGCGGATCGCCACAACTCATTTCTGTGGCTGCGCAAGCAGATGCTCATACAAATTGTGTCTAGAACCCTGCAGATATCTGCTCTGTGTGTGCATCTGTGGCTGTGGGTATCCGTGGCTCAGTTCTGCAGCTATAAATGCAGATGCAGACACAAATTTTGTATCTGCACGGGGCTCTACTTACGAATATAGTGCTGCTCCCACCGTCTATATATTGCCCCAGCAAACCCTACAAAAACATAGCTGGGGTGGGGGAATATTTTTCATTTGAATCATTTATTCGGGCAATTCCCACCGCAAAGATGAGAGAAACTGGAGATTTGGGGACGAGGCCTGCAAGATCAAGTGTATTGCCATTGCCATGTCCTTGGCGTGCTTCGCAAGCGGAAGTTTGGGCAGCCCGTTATCGTGACGTCCTGCAAACACGAATCTTACTGCTTCACCGTTCATGCCAGGCATTATTGCCTTTGGCTGAGAGGGGCCAGGCGTCAGGAAAAGGGAGCCACCTGAGTGAAATTTCAGTTCAATGGCAGGACTGGAGAGAGAGCAGGCTTTGGGGGGCGGGGGGGGGGGAGGTAGCCAATATTTGGTCGCAGTCCCTGCAAGGAAATGTTTAAATCCAAACCAACCTGCTGGTCTGGCTGCCTTTGCTGGCTGTTGGATTTCACAACACAGTTTGGGTGACACAGGCCTTTGCAGAGCCTGATTTTTATTAAATCTAAGGCCCCAATTCTTTCAGCTTCCCACGGGGCTTTCAAATCTGCGTGTGCGAGTAAGTGCTGCTCTGTGCGAGTAAGACTGGCAGATTCCAAATGCAGGGCCGACGTTGGCCATAGGTTTGCTTTTCACAATATTGCAGGTTGGACCTCTCTGGTCCGGCGCTCTCGGGTCCGACAACACCCGTGGTCCGGCAGGATTTGAGTGAGTCGCACGTCCACGTAGCATGGGACACTGGGAAACTCGGTCACACCCATCGAGTTTGTTTACAGCCCCCAGCCCTGGCTCTCCGTTATCTTGCTCTAATTTGCCCCACGTGTTTGCTAAGTGCCAGCAAGCAGCGGCAGTGCTGGTAATGCTTCCAGACAATCCTGACCTCCCGTGGTTCGGCAAATTCCCTGGTTCGACCCCAGTCAGGTTCCAAGGGTGGCGGACTAGAGAGGTTCATGCTGTAGAATCGAAACCAGCCCCCATGCCTCTGCAATGCCCGGCCAGCTTTGGTGCTCCGACGGGAGCGTGTTCTTACAGCGCACTGTACAGACGCCAACTAAAACGCTAGCAAGTCCAGGCTCGGTCGGGGTAGCTGCTCGCCAGTGATACTCGCCGCGGCCGAGTGCCTTTCCAACAGCTGGGAGCTGGCTGAAAGTCAGACATGGGAGGCCTGGGCTGCCTGTGGACTAGACCGTGCCCCAGCCGCCGGCTGCCTCGCGGGTGCGCCCCTGCTCAAGACAAGATTGCGGTTCCATGGTGGCCCAGCTGCTTGTGACGTCGGGCTGTGTGGTGCCGCGAGTTATACCCGACTTGTCTAAGGCCGCGGGCCTGGCTGGGGGTCTCCCTTGCGGCTGTGGTCTTTGGATCCCACCTGCAGAGGCTAGGCACTGACTCTGCTGCCTCCACTAGGCCCACTCACAGTCCAGCTGCCCCGGGCCCCACGGTCACGGCTGAACCTTCCAAGGCTTCTGCACGTTCCCATGCGCACCCCCTCCCGCCTCTGCCCCGGGTGGGGGAGGGAGTCTGGTTTCTCGTTTTTCTCCTCAGAGACACATGGCTTTGCAAGGAACTTCAACACGCACACGCCGCTCTTAGGGCTTGTCTACAAAGGAACGCTCTAGAAAATGAATCCCAATGCAGATTAAGCTAAATAAATTAAGGCCACTTTGATTCTGAATGAGGGGGTCATATGGGGCTCTAATGCAGTTCACATAAGAACCTAAGAACAGCCACACGGGGTCAGCCCAAAGGCCCATCTCGCCCAGCATCCTGTCTGCCCACAGTGGCCAGCGCCAGGGGCCCCAGAGGGAGAGAACAAAACGGGAGGGATCATGTGATGATTCCGTCGCCCATTCCCAGCTTCTGACAAACAAGGACACCCTCCCTGCCAATCCTGGCCAATAGCCATTGATGGACCTGACCTCCATGAACGTATCCAGTTCTCTTTTGAACCCCATTAAGGCCCTGGTCTTCACAACATCCTCTAGCAAGGAGTTCCACAGGTTGAATGTGCGCGGAGTGAAGAAAAACTTCCTGTGGCTTGTTTTAAACCTGCTGCCTATCAATTTCATTTGATGACCCCTAGTTCTTATGTTGTGGGAACAAGTAAATAACTTTTTCTTTTTCCCTTTCTCTACACCAGTCATGATTGTATAGACCTCTATCATACCGCCCCCTCAGTCTCCTCTTTTCTAAGCTGAAAAGTCCCAGTCTTTTTAATCTCTCTTCATATGGGACCCGTTCCAAACCCCTCGTCATTTTTGTTGCCTCTTTCTGAACCTTTTCCAATGCCAGTTCATTTAACTCATTTACTTTAAATTTACACCTAGAGTAAATGTGGATTAATCTCCCGAGTGTTACAGTGTAAACAGCACTTAGATAGCACAGGACGTTTACCAATCTAGGCAAATCAACACATGACTTTATCACAACCCCGCTCTTGAGTCTTCATGGCTACAGAGTCCTTGGGATTTGCAACTTGCCCGAGGGGGTTCAGGGTGGGTGGTGGAACGGCTCCATGGGCTGACAGAGCATGCCGCTTTTCCAAGCAATCGGTGCCAGCTTTGCTGGTTTCTACACTTCTGCCGGGGATTTTCCATGCTCCAGTCCCCTAGGAACTTCTGGGGCATAGTCATCAAAAGTCAATGGTTCTGCCGGTAGCAAACTCATTGTTCTACCAGGGCAGAGCCAGTCAATGTTAATGGCCCCTTGGTGGCCCTGACACATACTCTCCGGACATGGGGGCCAGCTTCCTGCTACCGGTTGGATGATCACGTTCACGAGGACCGTGACAAGTGCTGGAATTCCCGGAATTCATCGCTGGACCCTAACCCGCCCCATCAGGTATGCCTGCACAAGTAATGCCAACAGCCTTTGTGCACAATTTGGGTTGAATGTCCCTTCCGTGAATGAGCACGGGACACATTCTCGTACATCTTTCCAAACAGCAAAGACGTTTTCCGGCCCCGCAGCGCCGAGCTCCGGAAGAGAAAAGAGATTTTGACAGCGAGTCGAGTGTCACCTAGACGAGACGTGTGCCGTGGACGGCTCGGCGGAGCGACGCGTGGGAGGAACTGTGTCCCTGGGAGCAGCGCTCCGTGCACCCTGGTAAGTTTGTGTGGTCTCATTCATGTGTTTCATTGACACATTCGTGAGGAGGTGACTGCCTGGACAGGTTCTTTTCCTCATCACCCACCGGTTTCCAGATCTTCTCTCATCATTGTTTAAATATACTGCGCCCCTGAAATGTTCCCAGCAGCTTGGTGATCAGACCAGACCTGTGTGCTCTGTGGCCCAGATCCAAAGGGGGTTAGGCACCTAAACACTAGCCGAGCGTGTCTCAGGAGCTAGGCCAGAAACCTGGGTAGGGCAGAGCTCTCTGGCATCTGGGTGTTTCCTGGGCAGAGCGTGAAGCACAATACAATCCCTGCTCTTCATTGCTTCAGTGATGTAAAATGATGGAGTGTTGCCTAATGGTTACAGCAGCAGGGGGCGAGAATCAGGAATCCTGGCTTACGTCTTCTGCTCTGACTCCCTGTGTGACCATGAGCGAGCCATTTAGTGTCCCGTGCCTCAGTTTACCCCTCTGTAATACAGGGGCAATCATTGATGTCCCTCCCAGGGGCTTTGTGGGGATTAACTATAGATAGGCCACAGCAAAGAGGATTATTGTCACCATCCTCATCATCAGCATCAGCCTTCCTCCCAGAGCCACCCTATGCCGGGCTGAGCTGGCCCCGCGAAGAGCCGTGGAGAGGAGGGCTCAGCCAGTCCCTGGGTGTGGCTCTTCAGGGGCTGGATGTTCTGACACACACAAGGGCCGAGGGCGCGGTGGAGGCAGATACGCGCAGAGGGCGCGATCCCGGGAAATAATCAGTGTTTGAGGGAAGACCCACAACTGTTCCGTGGGGGTCCTGAGACCAGGAGCTGTGTAGTGCGGGATGGGCAGCTTTCTGCACCAGCCAGGTGTCTCCTCCCACGCCCCAGGGTTATCTGCCTGCTGCCCCCTCCCAGGCTAGGGGAGAAAGGGCTGCCTGGGGACAAGCTGTCTGAAGCCTGCAGCTGGCCTGACTTACACCCCAGCTCCTGCTTCAGGGAGCGTGGGAATGATAACCCAGCACCAGGAGAAGGCCTGGAGATGCTGGAGCTGGGGAAAGGGAGCCCAGCAGCGTGTGTATCTGAGGAGGGGTTTGTATACAGGGGCTGCGTTCATAAATCCGAGCCCCCACGCTGGGGCATGTGTGTCTGTCCTCCTGGGGGCTGAGTAAAGGATAGGAAGAGGGAGCCGAAGGCAGTGTGCCTGTAGGCCACCAGGGGGCGCACTGACCCCTGCCGTGGAGGTGATGCTGCCCCCTGCAGGAGGAAGAGGTAAGATCCGTCAGCACGGCTCATTCAGCTTGAATTCTCTCTCGGGATAGCAGACAAAGGCTTTGGGCATCGAACAGCAAGGAGAAGTGGCTCACAGCCCGTTCCCCGGCCTGGGGCGAGACCTGCCGTGCTGGTCTGTCCGTGTGCATGGGACGAGGCACGTGAAGAATGAGGTTTTGCTCTGCTCTCTTGCAGCGCCTGACCCGCGGTGCCCAACGGCGTGGGAAGGAGAGAGGAACCGCGCTGGGGCGAACGCTACCAAAGGAACGGCGTTGCCCTCAGTGCTGCGTCCGAAGTGCAGCTGAGACCGTTCTGAAAACCCTCCGTCCGAGAACAATAAAAAGGTCCAAGCAGCCGCGGGTGACGAGCCTCATTCGGACACTGCTCCCCTGCCCTTGCCAGTGGGCGTTGGGCTGGGCTGTGAACTCAGGTGCCACTGGGGGACCGGTCCCTGCCTACGGCTCCGATCCAGCCAGCCACTTAGACACGTGTTGCTTTAAACACGCGAGTCGGCTCATTGGTGGAGCTCCTGTGTTGCTGAACTGGGGGGCTGCCTGGAGCATCTGCTCCTGAGCCATCCAGCCGGGCGGAGACTTTCCCTCACCCGAGTGGCGGCAGGATGAACTCCAAGGTGCGCGGGGGCGGGCAAAAGGTGCAGGCAGCGTTCCTCTGCGTCCGGGCGAGAGAAGGTGACTGTGTGTGTGTGTGTGTGTGAGTGTGTGACAGTGACATCACAGCCACCTGCATGGCCCCCATTAGACCCTCGCGAGCGCCGCGTGACCTGGCTGTACAGGCTGAGCAGAGATGGGGAAAACCCTCTTTTAAATACTCGTGCGCGGGGGCGGGCAAAAGGTGCAGGCAGCGTTCCTCTGCGTCCGGGCGAGAGAAGGTGACTGTGTGTGTGTGTGTGTGTGAGTGTGTGACAGTGACATCACAGCCACCTGCATGGCCCCCATTAGACCCTCGCGAGCGCCGCGTGACCTGGCTGTACAGGCTGAGCAGAGATGGGGAAAACCCTCTTTTAAATACTCGTATCTTCAGTCGCAGCCACAGGAAGTTGGGAAGTTGCTTGCTGGGGATGATCAATCACGTGGAAATGGTTTGTTTAGCCAGAGTCACTCCCGGGTGGGAGGCCCCCAATAACATTGTAGAGCTGGCTTACGAAGGGGAACAGGATTCGTCCCAGCTTGCTCCTGGGGATGTTAATTCTATCTCCCATCACCCACCTGGCCCCTGTGCAGAAGGCGCATTGACCCCTGAATCAACCCGGGCCTATCTACATCTAAAAACAAACGGTCTTTCTTCGTGTTACTGAGACTGCCCGAAGAGTGACGTCCACTGACAATCCAGTTTCCTTCTTGCCTCTTATAATATTTGTCAGTTACTTGTTTCTATCATATAAGAACTAGGGATTACTAAAGGCAATGAATGGACAGCAGGTTTAAAACAAACAAAAGGCAGTATTTCTTCATGCAACACACAGTCAACCTGTGGAACTCCTTGCCAGAGGATGTTGTGAAGACCAGGACTTTAACAGGGTTCAAAAAAGAAAAAACTTTTGTGTGGGGTGGGGGCGGGGCTTTACGTACCTGTGAACAACAAAAGTTTTCTCACTCAATTGGCAGTGTAAACAAAATCACAGATGAACACAATTTATTGGGGAAGCACCCACACGGTTGTAGTAAAGAGAAATCCTGCCTCACCGATACACTCGGCTCCTTTGAGGCGGTCAACAAGCATGTGGACGGGGGATCCGGTGGATGTAGTGTACTTAGATTTCCAGAGAGCCTTTGTCAAGGTCCCTCACCAAAGGCTCGTAAGCAAGATAAGCGGTTGTGGGATAAGAAGGAAGATCTTCCTAGGTAACTGGTTAAAAGATAGGAAACAATGGGTAGGAATAAATGGTCAGTTTGCAGACTGGAGAGCAGTAACTCGTGTCCCACAGGGGTCTGTGTGGCGACCAGGGAGGGTAGGTCTGTCAATGGGCATTAGCCAAGCTGCGCAGAGAGGGGTCCCCCAGCCTCTTCTGTCAGGCTGGGAATGGGTGACGGGAGGGGTCCCCTGTTCGGTTCCCTCCCTCTGGGGCACCTGGCACTGGCCGCTGTGGGCAGACCGAGCCCTGGACTGGATGGACCTACGGTCTGACCCGTCTGGCCGCTCTTACGTTCCTACGTAACAAACCCTCTGCCCTCCCGTTGGACCCGGCAGCACCGCTGAGCGGATTAAGTCCAACTGCATGAAAGCCTCCCCCCAGCCCAGCTGTGTCCGTCACGGGGGCTGAGGGGATGGAGGACCAGGCTCCGGAGAGCGCTAAGAGCCGGCTGCCTTTGCTGTGTGTTTCAGACGGGATTCACACGCTGACCTGTGCCCTGATGCTGCTGAACACGGATCTCCACGGCCATGTGAGTAGAGCGTCTGGGGGCCTCCTTCCTTCCTGCCCTGTGGGCCGCGCTGCTGAGGGAGGGCCCCGGAGCCGGGGGGAGGGACTTCGGTTCTCCTTGAGCATTCAGTCTGGGTTTGCCACCGACTGCGGGGTGGCTGCGGTTAAATTCACCCCGGCTGGTTCTCCTCCGGAGACACGAGTCAGCCCTGCTGGCTAGGACTGACGCCTCCCTCCAGCTGCTATCCCCCAGCACCGGGCCCCAGCGCTGGTCCGCCCCGGCCAAGCCGCGGAGGGAGAGACGGCTGCTCCGGCCCCGGCCTGAGCTCTTTGGGGCGACTTCCCCAGCTGGCCGAGGGCTCTTGCCTAGCGCTGCCCACGGGGTCTATTCATCTTGCTGCTGGAGGAGGGGTCAGGTCAGAAAGGAAGCCTTGGTGGCCAGGCCGTGTCTGGGGGGGCACGTACCTGGCGGGGAGTCCGGGAAATGCAGGGAAAGTGGTAGAGGCCCCAGCCCTGCCCCACGTAGGCGCTGGTCCTGTCACCTCTCGTGCCGGCAAGAGCGCAGCCGTGGGGGTGTTGGGAGAGGGGGTCGGCCTTGCCAGGCTGCTGGGCACAGTTGATCCGACCCAGGCCTGCCTGTCCCCCAGGGTGCAGTGCAAAGAAATGCCCGTGGGCGGGGGTACCCCAGGAGTCTCACACCCGGCCTCATGCTGCTTCAGCCTCCCCCAGAGTCCCTGTTCCCACGCAGCCCTGTTGGGCACAGCTGTCACTCCTGGGGCCAGCGGGGCCCCTGGCTGCCGCTAGTGCTGTGTGCCGCCCCGGGACGGTGCCAAAACGCCCCCTGACCTACAGCATGCGCGTGTGGGCAAGGCCTCCGGCAGAGCCCCCCCACCCCCAGCCTGCGCTGCCCCCCGGGGCTGGGCCCGGCTGGCCTGGGCGAAACTGGCGCAGGAATAGCGCCTGGGCCCTGATTCCCAGGGGCTCCCCTCCTGCCCCATCAGCATTAGGGGTGGCAACGGGCGGGGTTTGGGCCGGGGCGTGAAGCATTCCCCACCAGCCTGGGGGCTGGGTAGTAAGTCTGAAAAATTCCCCTCCCCCCATCTCAGGCAAAGCCCCGAACATCAGGGCTGTGCCTATAAAATCAGGATTCCCGGTGGCCGTACCCCAGTTTAACCCCATGTTTGCCCACCCCCCCATGAGCACAGCCTGGTGAAAGCCAGGTGCACTTTCACCCCATGGATGGCAGTCCTGCCAAGGGATCAGGTGGGGAGGGGGGTTAAAGGGGTGTTGTAGCCCCTGGCATGTCAGGAAAGGGCGTGGGCCTCCCGAGATCCCCACCCCACACCCCAGCATGCAGCCTGGCCCTTAGATCTGTGATTAGCTTTCTGCAAGTAGGGCCACGTCCTGCCCTGTGTGGACCCTCTTCAGCCGGGGGCTGTCCCTCCATCTCGCAGGGGTCTCAGCAGAGAGGGGTGAAACCGAGGCACTACCGGGAGCGGGTTGGCCTGGCTTGGAGGCGCCAGCCTGGGCCCTCCCGCTGTGCTCCCCGCCTGCGTGGGTGGAGATCAGGCATGCACACCGGCATCGCCCCTAGAACGAGCCTCTGGCTGCAAACACTCATGGGCGGAGGGAAGCAAGCGTTGGCCTGCCAGGCCCCGGCCCGAGCGGCCCCTCTGGCGAGCTCTCCTCCCCACGCGCACACTGCTCGCAGGAGGAGCGTTGGGGTTCGTTGGTGCGTTTTTAGGACCAGATCAGATTTAACTCTAATTCTGCCCAAGGCGCCTGCGTGGCCAGCACTGCCCCACCCATGTTCCTCTTGCCCCTCAGCCTGGAGGGCTACGGGGGGGAGAGGCTGGAGACCCGAGCGGCCCCTCTGGCGAGCTCTCCTCCCCACGCGCACACTGCTCGCAGGAGGAGCGTTGGGGTTCGTTGGTGCGTTTTTAGGACCAGATCAGATTTAACTCTAATTCTGCCCAAGGCGCCTGCGTGGCCAGCACTGCCCCACCCATGTTCCTCTTGCCCCTCAGCCTGGAGGGCTACGGGGGGGAGAGGCTGGAGAGG